CAGCATCACAGGGAGATGGTTAGGCCTCCGGATAACTGCGGGTGGCCCTGACTGATGTCAGGCCTTCTATGAGAGGTGGAGGAGTAGAGTCTTCTCTGAACTTCTCCGAGGAAAGGGAGATTCCCTTTCCCAGTCTGCTAAGGAGCGAGTGTTTTTCCTCGACACTGACACTACCGCTAGACCAAGGAGCCCTCTGGTGGCCCTGCCCGGGCATTACAGAAGGCTTGCACTCCTGTCTTCTGGTCACTTCTCACTACGTCCCCTCAGCTCCTATCTCTGGTTTTTCCTACGTTATGATTGTAGAGCGAGGATTATTATAATATTGGAATAAAGAGTAATTGCTACAAACTAATGATTAATGATATTCATATATAATCATATCTATTATCTATATCTAGTATAACTATTCTTATTTTATATATTTTATTATACTGGAACAGCTCATGCCCTCGATCTCTCGCCTCGGCACCTGGGTGGCTTGCTGCCCACAGAAGGGGAAGCAAGCACGATTCACAGGGCTGGAGCAGGAGGAAGAGAGAGAGGGGGGAGGTACTACACACTTTTAAACAACTAGATCTCGTGAGCACTCGCTCACTATTGCCACACCAACACCAAGGTGGATGGTGTTAAACTATGAGAAACCGACCCCATGATCCAATCACCTCCCACCAGGCCCCACCTCCAACGCTGAGGATTACAATTCAACGTGAGATTTGGGTAGGGACACAGTTCCAAACCATATCACATAGTGTCTGTTTGATATCTTAAAACTAGTATATTTTGTCATTTTGAAATACATTAGATTAAGCAGGTGTGAGCTACACTAGGTGCTCTGGGGTCTCAATGTCCTGCCTGTGCATGGCTCCAAGGCTTCTTTCCAAGTTGATGTGTGTCTGCTTCTTATATCTCTGTTCTTCAAATATTTCTTGCTCACACACATCTGAAAATATGTTCCAGGTGATTTTGCTATCAAGTGTGTAATAGTTGCAAGGGGTAAGGTATCTGGTCTAGTGTATATAGCATATGTGTTTGAAGTGCATTCTGTGGGAATGCTGGAGTCTACATTCAGTTCATCCTAATGACAAAACATGTATGCCAAGTAACTCACATCATCAGTAAGCCAGTCTGACTTTCTATGAGAGAACGTTGCACTTTGTTTTTCCATGGCAATAAATGTGTTCATATTGTTCCATGACCACAAACTAACTTGCTTTTGATACATAATAGAGATGATAGATGGAGATAGATATAGAGTGTTAACTGAAGAAAGATGGACATAGAGGCCAAAGAAAATAACATTGATTTGGGAAACAAAGAATTGCAATTCAGGTACACTGAATCAGGCCAGCCCTGATAAGGCAAGGGCAGAATAAATTTTATACAGGAGATTTCCACAAAAAGTTATTTTCTGAGGCAGTTCATTGGCTGTGCAGAAATCCCAAATTACAAACTTGTTCAGACTGGTTATTTAATGGGGGTACTCCCAGCTGAGAGACGTTCAAGGCTGGCAGATATTGACCTCAGGTGTGTATCAAAGTCTACTGGAACATTCCGTGGTTTGAACTTTATCAGGTGTGAGTGCAATCTTCTCTCAATCTCCAGACTCCAGTTTACAAAGCCCTACCCTTAATTACTTCATTTTCTTTCATGATAGAGATAGATAGGACAGAGAGATGAAAGAAGGAAGGAAGGAAGGAAGGAGACAGGGATGAAGGCATAGAAGAAAGGAAGGGAAGGAAGGAGAGAGAAAGGAAGGAAAGAGGAAGGAAGGAAAGAGAAAGAAGGAAGGAAGGAAAGAAGGAAAGAGAGAGAAAGGAAAGAAAGAAAGAAAGGGGGGAGGGAAGGAGGAAAGAAGGAAGGAAGGAAGGAAGGAAGGAAGGAAGGAAGGAAGGGACTTTTTTCCATGAATGTATCATCTGGATGACTGTGTATGCTGTCCGTTCAGCAGTTCTTGAGGTTTTTTTAAATTGTGGTAAAAACAAAACAAAACACATAACCTAAAAGGTGTCATATTGACCATTTTTATGTGTACAGTTTAGTAGTGTTAAGTATATTCTATCGGGCACACTTGCAGTCAGTGGACAGAACGTGCGAGGCTTTGCTGCTCTCATGGAATTGAGAACTTTTGTGCTTTGTCCTCTGACACACAGATAAAGCACTTCACAGTCCTGCTGCAGAGTCCACTGTATCTGTGACACCTGAGAGAAAACATCTGGCCATAAGTTTATTGAGTCTGCTATTTGCATCTCTATTAGCTAAGGTAGGGTTTCTCAAACTGTTGATGGAGACACCTGGGAGGGGAAAGGGAATGAAATCCATGTAGTGGGTTGCAGTATGAGTATGTGTGTGTGTCTTGACAGAGGGACAGATGGGAACTACAGGAAATTGTTTCACCTGTTTGTTTATAAAGGCAATTACATCGGAGCTGAGGAGGGCATCTTCACTTTCACAGTCATTCTCTTAATATCCTGGTCTAATCCCATGGATAAATTGTGTGTGTGTGTGTGCGCGTGCGTGCGTATTGACTCATGTTGAGACATAAATTATACACAGGCTCTGACCCACTAAATATTAGCACTTGTTATTTATAATGAAAGTTAGATATTATGTTAAATGTGCACATGGGCATGTGTGTGTGTATAAATTATGTCCCTAGACTCCAAGACACACTCCACACTCATAGATCCAACTGCCTATCCTGACATCTGCAATTGCTTGAGAGATAAAATTAACACTCCAAAACTGAACCTCTAATCTTTCCCCACTTCCAACTCTTCTACACAGTGATTAATGACAGCTGTTCAGATCAAAAATAATATGCTGAATTCTTAGACTTCTCTCTTGGCCACACATCCCTTATACCATCTATTAGCAGATCCTTAAATTCACCTGTCAATAAAGCTGGCCTTGATAAAATCTGCCACATAGTGAGGATTTCATCAGCTATAACATGCAAAGCATTTAAAATAATATCTAACTTCCATTAAAAATAACAAGTGGTAATATTTTGTGGGTCAGATCCTGTTGTAGATGTATCACCTCTTTTATGTCATCTAACAACCATGACTCAATAATCTCTAGGTATATTAGGGGCTGTTACAACCCTCATTTTGCAGTTGGAAAACCTCAAGGGGCACATGCATGTGAGTGGGCATGCTCTCTCTCACACACATGCACTCAAACTGAGGCATAGGAAGGTTGCACAGTGTCATGAGTCCCTAGGAAATGAACCCAGCTATAGGACTCTGCAGCTTTTGCATATACTAAAAATAATGATCTGCTTGGAAATCCAAGAGAATACTCCCATCCAGTTGCTTAGGTGAAAAACCCTGGAGTCATTCTTGACTCCTTTCTTATTCTCATCACCCACATGCAATCCCTCTGCAAATTCTGTCATTCTGTCTAAGCTATCCAAGATCCAACCACATCGCACCACTTCCACTGCTGCCACTCTGGTCTGAGCTACAACCACCTCTTGCCTATCTGAGTGCAATAACCTCCTGCCTGGTCTCCCTATTCTAATCTTAATCTTCTTATAATATATTCTCTACAGTGATCCTTTCAAGTCATTAAGTCCAATCACATGTCTCCCCTACTCAATTCCCTTCACTGATTTCCTTCTCACTCAGAAGATAAGATAAAATCCTTATGAGGGCCAATAGGCCTTACATTGTAATCTGTGAATCCTCCATTACCTCTCCACCTTCTCTGCTATGCTCTCTTACAAACTCCATACCAGCCACCCTGGTGTTGCAGCTGTACCTTCAATATTCCAGGGTTTCTGCTGAATGAGGGCTTTTGCACACTCTGCTCTCTCTGCCTTTGGTGCTCTCTCAAATCTAGCTCATGGCTGGCTCCTTTATCTCCTTTAAATCTTCTCGATTTTCATCTCCTCACCCTACTTCATCATGTAACTGCACCCCTCACAGACCAATTCACTGCCCTTTTCTTTTTGCCCATACTGCTTGCCACCTTCTAAAATACAGTATAATGTACAAATTTGTTTTGTATTTTCTGTCTCACCTCTGTCTTCGGTTGGTGGTCTAGTAAGTGTTGCGACATAACAAACCACCCCTAAACTTAGCGACTCAAAACAATGATGATCATTTGCATCTCCAGTTTGGGCAGCCACTGGGACTAAGGCTCATGTCTGCTCCATGTGGCAGCAGCTAGGGTGGCTAAACCGAAGGCTGAAGGAATCTGCTTCCAAGATGTCTTACACAGGAAGGGGACAATTTTGTGCTGGCTGCCAGCTGGTAACACTCAGAATAGTCTGAGGGCCAAGCGACTTGGTTCCTTTCCATGTGGCCTGTGCTTCCTCACAGCATAATGGCTGGATTCCAAGGAGATACATATATATATATCAGGTGGAAGATGTATCATCGTGTATGACCTGGCCCCAGAAGTCAGAATCCCCTCTGCTATACACTATTGGCCACAGCATCACTACCCAAGTTCTACTGGATGGGACATAGACTCCATCTCTTAATGGGGAGTGGCTAGATGCTGAAAGAGCAAGCAAGACAGAAAATATTGTTGCGACCATTTTTCAAGAAGGCAATGTATGAAAATTGGACACCCCAAAGGCTGAGAACCCCTAGTGGGGAAAGCAGAACAAAGAAGAAGAATCCAAGCAAGGGTGCAATCCCAGAGGGAGGAAAGATTCAGCCAGGTTCCACAGGGTAGGGAGATGAATTCCGAGCCATTTCCAGCTCTCTGCTCTTGCAGGTAAAGCAGTTCCAGGAGCTGAGGGGCTATCCTCTGAGAAGGAGCTCCAGGGGTGTAGGCTTCAGAAGGAAGAGCACATGGAATCAGAGAAAGGGGTGCCAGAGGACTTGGGCAGGGCACCAACACTGCCCACCACATCCTGCCAGAATAGAAGCTTAAGGGAAGACATATTTGTTTCACTCATTCTTATATACCCAGCACCAATAAGAATACCTCTTATGTAGCAGGTGATCATTAAATATTTATTGAACTGAATGGAATTGTCAATGGAGATGAGGGCCTTGTGGATCTTACATGGACTAGGTTTCACACCTGCCACGCAGCGCAAGAAGCTAAAAGACTTCAGTGGCAGCTGGAGGATGAGGCTTGCCCTTGCCAGAGCCCTCTTTATTTGGCCCTTCATGCTGCTCCTGGATGAGCCCACCAACCACCTGGACCTAGATGCTTGCATGTGGTTGGAGGAAGAACTAAAAACTTTTAAGCGCATCTTGGTCCTCGTCTCCCATTCCCAGGATTTCTGAGTGGTGTCTGTACCAACATCATTCATATGCACAACAAGAAACTGAAGTATTATACGGGTAATTATGATCAGTATGTGAAGACGCGGCTAGAGCTGGAGGAGAACCAGATGAAGAGGTTTCACTGGGAGCATGATCAGATTGCACACATGAAGAACTACATTGTGAGGTTTGTCACGGCAGTGCCAAGCTGGCCCAGCAGGCCCAGAACAAGGAGAAGACGCTACAGAAAATGATGGCATCAGCACTGACAGAGAGGGTCATGAGCGATAAGACACTGTCATTTTATTTCCCACCATGTGGCAAGATCCCTCCACCTGTCATTATGGTGCAAAATGTGAGCTTCAAGTATACAAAAGTAGGCCTTGCATCTACAATAATCTAGAATTCGGAATTGACCGTGACACACGAGTGGCTCTGGTAGGGCCCAATGGAGCAGGGAAGTCAACTCTTCTGAAGCTGCTAACTGGAGAGTTACTACCCACAGATGGCATGATCCGAAAACACTGTCATGTCAAGATAGGGCATTACCATCAGCATTTAAAAGAACAGCTGGACTTAGATCTCTTGCCTCTCAGGTCAGGAGCTCCATCTGGGAACTAACAGCTGCTACCCTGACCAGCTGCTCAGGACAGGACCCTGGGGCTACACTCCTGCATTGCTGCAATACTGCTCCCCCAGCCTCTCCCCTGCCCCTCAACCTGCCTTAGCTGCACTCTCTTATCTACAGATGGACAGTAACTGTTTCCTGTCCTCCTTCCAGTTACATCTGTCCATGTCTGGACTCGGCTGGCCATTCCCTCCAGCCCCTTGCTGGTTACCTTACTCTGAGTGTGATGCAGTCAGAGGCACCTGCAGGTTAGCCCAAGGGCCCAAGCCCTGGATTTGGCCCGCGGAGGAGGTTGGGATCCTCGTTTTCTGGGTTTTGGTGATGTTGGAGGAGTACCCCCAGCTCACTGCCCCGATTCCTTTTTGCTTCTGGTTTGGAGCTCTGGACCAGGACCTTCGTCCTGGTCAGTTTTTAAATAATTATTTAACAGTGTGACTTTTAGACCTGCGTGACATTTACAAAGTGCCCAATAAAGAAAGAGGAAGCCAAAACAAAACAAAACAAAACAAAACTAAGTAAAATAGAAGTTTTTGACCATGAAACAAAGACAGTGCTTTACAAGCAAACAGTGCTTACAAGCAAAACGGCTCCCCTAAAGCAGAGGGAACACGTAGAGTTTATTGTTCCGCCTTTCCCACTGAGGTCTGCTTGGAATCTGTGTTCATGTGTGGCGGCAGAGTGGGGTCAAGATTCATTTTATCCATCTGGATCATTTTGTCCACCTGATCACCCTGCACAGCCATCCAGTCCCTGCGGCTCTCCAGCGTCCATGTATGTGAGGGTCTGAGTCTCTCAGTTGGCCTTATGGGCCAACCTGCTGTTTTTGTGGGTCGGAGACTTGGTCTAGAGTGTGTGTGTAGGAAAAAAGTGTTCATGATTGGCCTCGTACTTCACCAGGGGTGAGGCATTTAATGTGGCTTTTTGTCCTTTCTCTCTGCCCCAGGATCCCGCAGGCCTGTTCTCTCTATGCCTTTGGTCTGTTTCCCCCAAATCTGAGCCTGTCCCCTCCCTACTTTGTTTGTCCCTTCCTTGCTTCGTGGCCTCGAGATGCCACCGACCTAGCACCCAGGGCATCTGGGAGACTCGGCTATGGAGAAAAGGGAGGTGGTGGCAAAAGAGACGCCTGCTGAGGACAGGCAGGCCTAGGGCAGTTGCCTTCTCATGCAAGTAATCATGAAGGTCATGTTATACATGGTGTCAGGGAGAGCAGCTGATTTTAGTATCAATTATAAAAGCTAGTTTCCAACGAAGAAATAAAGAAAATGACAAGATATGGTTTGGCTGAGCCGAAGCAGTACTGATTACAGACACCTGCTCAACTGTTTGCAGTGAAATAACACGCACGTGAGTCAGGTTAAGTTTGTTGTACTTCAATGTAAAAGTGGTTATGAAGTCCATTTTCAAATATTCAACTTTTAAAACATGATCCTTATTTATATTGGATGTCATCACTTAAATAAAAAAGAACTTAAGTCACGATTCCTCCTTATAAGACTTTTATTAACACCAGAAATGAAACAGTAAAAACAAAATGAATTTGAAAAATCAGTGTGATTGGGGGTGCAGAGATGGTATGAACAGGGACTGAGGAAAAAGCCAGGTCTGAGGACAGCCTTCAGTGTCAACTTGGAACTTTTAAAGGTCATGATTCAGCTGATCCTGTGAAGTGGACTGTGCGGTGGGCAGGTCGCTTCGTGCCTTTAGAGCCAGGCTGTGTGCTGGACCTCAAGGCTCTTCCTTCCCCAAGGAAAGCTTAACTCCCAGTGCTCCTGGGTTTGTCACCTTCTGGACTTGCAAGCTTGAGACCCTTGGGTCCCCTGTCCTGCACTGGACAACTCCTGACTGGGAGGAATTTTCTAACGCGATGAGACAGAAGAAAATGAAACAAAAAGGAACTACAGAAAACAAAGTGGGGTTAATTGCTGCATTGCCCTGTTATGCTGATTCCCACATCTTGTAGGTCTCTGGGATCATTTCTGTAACAAACATCAGGCCCTTGGTCAGAAACATAGCTCTCTCTCACACACACACATCGATCATCTCCACCAAAACCAATATTTTGACTTATGGTACCTTTGCTGGTGTCAGCTCAAAAACTACCTGTACTTTGTTTCCTCGAATCATTATGCTTTTGCATAGCCATCCTCTAACAGTTATCAAAGCAGGACACAATTGCATACACTCTGGAAATGAGGGGTGAGTCACCATTTTCAAAATTAAAATTTTAAAATTCTGACCCCTATCACCTTCCATACCTTTAATGCAGAGAGTGCCTATTCAGAGCATTCCATTTTTCAGTAATCACATCCAAACAGGTCACACTACCCATGTGTGTATTTCTTCATGCTATAAATACGTTTCTGGAAATGTTTTGTAGAAACAGATTTCTTTTCTTTTTGGGGGGGTCAATTGAGTGACATTTCACTACTGACATAATTTCAGCTATTCTTTTCTATCTCCAATCTGGTGTGGTTCTTGACACTTGGGCCTACAATTTTTTTCTGCATCAGCCTTTGTCAGATAATCAGTGATCCTAACACAAGTGCTCCACACATGGGAACTGGCAGTTTGAAGCCCTGGTTTCTTGCCTGAGTCTCTTTGCAAGTCACATGGGGAAGAAGGCAGCTCCTCACCGGCTTTGGCTGTGTGTGGTGATGCAGAGCTGGCTGTGGGGCTTAGGGAGTGGGGAGACCTCTCCTTGCTCTGTCCAGGCTCACTAAGGACTCTGAACTCAGTTAAAATACTTAGAAATTTTCCCCCACTTTGTCCAAGGAAGAAAATAATGTCACCAGAACCTGCTTCTTTGAAAATCAATATGGCTTCTTTGAAAATCAAAATGACTTCTTGTATGGTCTGAAAAAAGAAGACTTTGGCATTTACTTACCTGTGGGGTGATTGGAAACCCTGAAATCCTGTAGCAAAGTCTACAACTGCCCCAACTGCACTGACTGTCATGGGCCTCACTGCCAATTTGATCTATCCTCATAAAGAAGACAAAATCTCAGCAGGACCAGTATCTGCTTAGTTTCCAGCTGTAGGTGCTCAGAAGGATCAAGAACAGACATTAAATAACACTTCATGCCCAACTAACACCTTCATTCTGGGTGTCCTGGACCCCAGGACCTGTAAAGGAAGGGGTGACATGACACCCTCATTATAAAGTGGGAGTGTTTGTACTCTCAGTACCTAGTTACTTCTCAAGCAGAGGGGAGCAATTGGCTGGGAAACCTAAGAATGGAATTCATAGGTTTTTCCTGGTCATTTTTCTCTATCACTCAAAAGCTTGGGCCCATCATAGGATAGCCAGGGACAACCTACGCCTTCCCCAAGGTGGTAAAAATTCCTCTGCTAGCATTAGTCAGCTCACAGGGAAACACACTGCATAGGGGACCATGAGAATGGCCTTCAGACTGACCATCAGTAGGTATTTCTAATTGTAACTACTGATGATAGAGTTCCAGTTGAACATCGCACAAAGAAACCCTCACTTGACACGCACACCTTTCAAGTATCAAAACTGTTCAGATCCCTACTCATTTTGTGTCTGCAGGTGTTTCCCACATGTCTCCAAGGCTCACCCAATTAATCCATTTTGTCAAAATCCTCAGAGGAAGTATGAGGTAGAGGAATGAGTTTGCAATTGGCAGCCTGGACAACTGTATTCTAAGCCGGACTCTGGGTCTTGGCTTTGTGATAATCTTGGGCAACACTCACTCCAATCTTTGCTCCGATAAGACAGGGGGGAGGCTAGATTCTCTCAGAGCCCCCTCAGGAAGGCAACTGCTTCCTTCTTTTGTTCCTTCAATGTATAAAGAGGTCTTCTTTCCTAAAGGTTCTGGCCAAGACCTTGAAAACTACACAGTCTCTCTTGGTTTGGACCTGTGTTGACCATCAGTGTGTTTTTAGTTGAAAAGAAAAAAATAGAAAAAACTCAAACTGAGCCCCAAGTTTCCCTGTTTCTCATACTTTGGATTGCCTCTCATCCGTCCACTCCTGTTTTGTGCTCTGGAGAGCCTGTGTCTTCTGCTCATCCACTTGGACATAGTCTACTCTTTGTTCTTCTGAAAGGAGAAGTTTCTGAAGAAGGAGAACAAAAAGGTTTTCATTACATGTAACTTAAAATGTCAGGAAAATGTTTACCCTTTTGTATTAAATTACATTGTTAGATATTTGTTGCCCTTTTCTTTGTGTGGAAGCTTTATACTTTGTATATGCGCGTGCGTGTGCACAAAAACACGTTGCTTCCCTCAACTTTGCTCTAGCCACTTGACTTGCTTTGACCAATATAATGTAAGTGGAAGTGACATGGCCTGGCATGGTGGCATGTGCCTGTAATCCCAGCACTTTGGGTAAGAAATACCTGAGACTGGGTAATTTATAAAGGAATCTTTATAATTGGGTATTTCTTCATAGCAGCATGAGAATGGACTAATACACAGGCCAAGGCAGGAGGATCACTTGAGCCCAGGAGATCAAGATCATTTTTTATTAAAAAGATAAAAAACAGCTGTGGGTGATGGTGTGCAACTGTAGTCCCAGCTACTTGGGAGGCTGAGATGGGAGGATACCTTGAGCCCAGGAGATCGAGGCTGCAGTGAGCTATGACCATGCCACTGCACTCCAGCCTGAGTGACAGAGTGAGATCTTGTCTCATGAAAATAAAACAACAATAACAAAAAGGAAGTGACATGTTCCAACCCTAAGGAGAAAAGAGGTATTCTGTGATTCTGCAATCTCTCTTTTTCCTCTGCCAGGAGGCCAGCACACTTCAGATGGGGGCTGCTTCTCTTGACTGGGCCCTGGACTGGAACACAAAGGCTCTGGCCTGCAATAAAAGAGCCTTTGTGTTGAAAGTAGATGAGATTTGGGGGTTGTTTGCTTTGAGTGCATAGTCTACCAAAACTGAGTAATGCTCCTTTTATACTTATTGCTCCCACCCTTCTTAACAGCTTTTCTCCAGTCTCGTATCAGGTTTTTGGAATGATATTAAAAGTAGAAAAGAAGTAGGAGTTACCTCAGCAAAAGAGTAGAAAAGTCCTCCATTGTTTCCCATGCACTCATTCCTTACGCTGTACAGTGGGTGATACTAGTTCACAGCTATGATGACTTACATGTATTAACTCAATTAATCCTCACAACAGTCCTTGACATAAGTGTTGTCATTTCTGATTTCCATTTTTCAGATGAGAATTCTACCCAAAGGGGTAGCTGCCCAACTTGGCATTCAAGGCCCCTTACTAAGGGGTTCCACTTCCAACTTACAGTTCTTTCCACTGCTCCCTCAAGTCTAACCAAACTAGGCTGTTACTTGTTCCCTAAACAGGATGTTCCTACACCTGGAGGGTCCTCTACCTCACCCTCATTTCTGCCCGAGACATTTTTCTATAAACTTTATCGTCCAAATTTTGAAGTGTGAATATCACATCTATTTATACATATACACACAAAGAACACACCCTAGAAGGAAATACACCAAGATTTCATTCTGTCTGGGAGATGGGATTAGGGCTGATTTTAATATTCCTCATTATACTTGTCTGCATTTTTCACACTTTCTAAGGAGAATATGCATGATTTGATCATCAGAAAAGTCTAAGCAGAAATGGAATCACCTGGGGATTCTCAGATGCAAAGCCCTTCCTACCTGCTGCATGGGGGCTGGTGATGCTGAATTGAAGTCCAGGGCCAAATAATCTAGGCTGAATTTCTTTGTCCACGTAAGAGCACCACTGCTCAGGGAACTGGTTGTTCGGTGCTCCTCCTAGGAACCAACATCGCAGGAGTCAGGTTAATGATGTCTATCTGGGTTGCTCAAGGGAAGGAGGGCAAGTTGTGGTTTCACCCAAGCAGATACCGTCATATCGTAACAGAATAGTCTGATGAGACCTGAGTCAATCAGCCTGCATATCTGAGTGAGAACTGTAATTTCAAACAGAATATAGCCAGTCTGGCCTTCACAGTGAAACTATACCATTATTCACTATGGGAACAGTATGCCAAAATTCACTCAAAAAGGAATTTGCTTCACGAATCTGACAGGCCTGTGATACTTTAGAGATTAAACCCTGACGAGATCAACTATACATATTAAGTTCTCGTGAAGGCATCCCAAATGCATTTAAATATAATT